CGTCAAAGCTAGTTCTTTGGGATAGATGAATTAGCCTAGATATTTAAGAGGAAGAGGAACGGTGACTCCAACTGAAAAATGATGCAGTTAACAGAAGAATGTTGACGTAAGAGCTTCCTATTGGGAGAATTGGATAAGTTGTAAAACCGTACAAGTACCTCAGAATGAATGTAAGAGATATGAGAAACTCAGGAGATAGATATGCGATAGAAAGTTTAATAGGGAATAAATAGCTTTTTTACAATTAAAACCTTATGGATGCAGATTGTGGCCAATATATTATCAAAGGAAGGTTCAATTATACAAGCACAGTTTATAGTAAGGCTTACCTCTAGGCACTGGAGTATTCGGAATTGGATGGGTTAGTGTTACATCGATATGCCATGAGGATTGTTGAAAGAAGCAGATTAAAACTGGTTTTAGCTCTAGTCTGAAACTTAACTTAAAAAAATTGATTGAAAGATAAAGTCCTGATTGAGAAGTAAATATATGCTAAGCAGACTCCCACATATACCTCTTAGTGTCTCAGAAAGGGAGCCATAGATTATTCGCAATTCTATAACCAAGTCATTTTCATTTAATGATTTTGATTATTATTATTAAATAAAATGTATCAATAAGGACTGTTTGTGTCCTTGTAAAATCTGAATTTGAGCTTATGCGACATCATTAGCAAAGAAGTTTGGCTGGATTTAGAACTGAAAAATATTTTGCACTTAGTTGACAATATATTGTGTCAGAGGTAATACCTATTTTATAAAAGTATAATTGGAAAAAAATAAAAATGCGGTTGATATTTTTAACATCTTAATAATAAAGTAGGAAAGACTTTAAGAAGAATTAAATAATTACTCAGTGAAGAGAAGTTGACTGAATACGTTCAAAAATCTAAAGAATGTTGCTAAATACATTTAAAAAATGATGGAGCCATATCATTCTTGACTGCAAACTCTACACTAATTTGTGTAAAAGAAACTGATAGTTTGGGAAAGTGTTTGTTGTTATTGTATAAGCGGGCGCAGAAAAAGGTTATGAACAATGGGTTTTGTTAAGAGGATTCTTAGCTATGTAAGATCCTCGATCTCAAATTTCATCTATCTCTAGTTTAATTGAAGTTATTATGTAGGGTATCGCTTAGTATTTTGAATTAAATAAATAAGACTGGTTTTGTCTAGATCAACTTTAAGACAATATTTTGCATTTCTCTCCAGATTATGAACTTAACATTCCCATTTAAGTATTGTATTGATTGTTATGAACTGAAGTATTTGAGATTACTACTATATGCAGCCAAACATAATTGGTTTTAATGGTAGATTGCACAATATCAATTCAGTAGCAGAAATGTCTTCAGATGATAATATCTTTTCTTGTTAAGATGGAATGCTTCTTCATAAATAGGAGGCTATGACTACAGAAATAAAATAAACAGACTTCCTCCTGCAACAGTTTGAGTTTTTCAAATCAAACTTCCTATTCTTTTTTCTGATGAATTAGTTAAACTGTATGGATAAATTTAACATACTGCTTAATATGAGGTTTTCAAGCAAATCATTTCGTTCAAAAAAGGAGCATAAACAGGTGCAATCAAATTTATGCATTTTTCGAAACAGATTCTAGGAGTATTAATAATTTAAAAACTCATCATTGTAGTGCTTCAAGCAGTTATAAACAAGTGGTGCATATGATATGTTTGAAGAGATGATAAACATTAACCTGCATAAATACAAGTAAATTTAATTTCCATAAAAAAATTTAAGTTCTATTCCTCCATTAAGGATATTATGCTAATCACATGTAGAACATTTCATTATAAATTCTTCGAAAAAATATGCATTCTGTTCTGAAATGTAATACTTTTCCAAATTGTGTTATCGAAAGACATTGCTCACCGAAATCCTCTAAGTTCATGCAAGCATCGTTTTTCTGAGATGTAGTACATTTTTAGACATAATCAAGGAAATATCCATATTTATTTTTATATTAATTTGATATACAAGAACCAGTCCTACGATTTAGTACTTTAATTCAATTTGCATCAAAAGAAACACATGCTTACTCTCATCAGGATACAAACTGGATGCACAAGATTAACAAATCGCAGAAGATGCACAAATTAAGTTGGATATTCGTGGACGATGTATAAAGGATATCATTGATTTTAACCTGAATATAAAAACAATAGCCATCTCGTCGGGCTAGATTAAGTCATTATTTGAGCATCAGTTTGAATTAGCTAATGATGCTCATTGCAATAAAATTTGAGAAACTCAATTCTATGCTAATTTACGGGCTCCTACAGTCTAGCAGATAATATTCTAATGGTTGAGTTTCGATTAGTTGTCTTAGGTAATTTATAGTTCATCTGCACGCACAGAAAATATATATACTCTTAATAATAAATTTGGGTTGTGTAAATTTACAGCTATAAATTTAGTATAAGGTTATGTTGGTGTGAAGAACATAGCTTATTGAAAAAAGATTATCATAGGCATTACACAGACCAAGCATCCATTATTCTAAAGTGATTTTTGAGAAAACTTAGGTTATAAAAAAAAGATTTGCAATTACTTCAGTTTAGAAGGTCATCTCTGTAATAGGGTCATATAGCCTCTAGCCTCTAAAAAGTAGCCTTAATTTAGATGTAATATATACACATGTATCTGAATTTTTACAGCAAATAGTAAATAGTTTGCTACAGTCTCAAAATCTTCATCTAAGTAGACATGTGTAACAACTCTATATAGGTTAAATCGCTCATCAGATGTTGAGTGACACAAATAGATGGAAAAAGTAATACTATCTTTGGGGCTAACAACTCTCAAAAATGTTTATAAAAGAGACATTAGTAGCGTTAATTCTGGCTAGGTCACATGTCCTTTGATTATAACATTGAGAATAATATATCTATTGATAATGAAGTTCTGCCCTTAATATAAGGTGAGATTTGCTTTGAATATAAGAAATGTTTGATATTGCTCTTTAGTAAAGAATTGAGCAAAATCTGATAATTCAAGAAATAATGCTATTTAATTATCCCTACTAGTTTGACGCAAAAGATCTGGTGATGTAATTGATATAATGCTGAAATCGACCATATATAAGTGTTTATACTGAATAACAGTTCAAAATAAATGTAAGTTGAATAAGTGATAAAATTAAAGTAAGGTACAAAATAGTTTTTGATATTTATTTTTAATTTGAATAATATTTTAATTAGGTATTGCATATCTTTCTGTATCTCTATAAATGATTGATCAACACTATTTGATAAGATGAATTTACAGTTCTTAATAATTAATATATTGATCAATAAAATGAAGAAGGTTGTAATAATAATTTTTGGATGAAGCTCTATACCAAACCCATCAGTTAGGAGCGAAATGTCAAATAAATAATTGTATATTTCTGGCCATAAGGAGAAGAATAGTTTAATTATAAACCTGTAGAATCTGTAGAAGTAGATTCTTAGCCATTGGAATTACGATAAATAGTATTGATTAGTAAATCAGCAAGCAATCATGATTGATTACAAATCTACACATCTTTTCAAATTAAGTTTAATTCTATCAGGGAGAGTTTTCTATTAAGACAAAATTCTTCAATTTGTTTGAAAAGACTTTATTTCAATTATAAATGAATTTTATTAATTTTTTTTTTCACTTAAAGCATTATTGTCATCCACTTCTTGAGGCCAATATTGTTTGATTTAATTTTTTTCACTCTAATTCATTTATCAAAACTATTTTAATATTTGATGTTCCTTTAATTGGTAATAGTAGTTAATTCCTTCATTTTTACCCAATAGAATAGTTACAACTCTAATTGTTTTTCAATTAATTTTCTGACTATTCACTAAATTTTAGGTTTTTGGTATTAATCAAATATTTTTATCAAAAACTCAGTTTTGTTAAACCTAATTTTCTTTAATTTTTATTAATTATAAACAAAATTAATATTCTACAAAGTACATTGGATATAAAATTATTTATCTAATAATTTCTTCTTATTTTTTGAGTCAAATAAAGTGAAATGATTTCTTAGATTTTAAAAAAAATGAATATCAAAATAATGTATATTAGCAGGGTGACATATATGTGTATTAAAATAGTGTGATTACTTTAATAACGCTTATAATTTTTTTATTCATTAGCAGTAGAAATTGTAATTTAATAGCTAATATCTCTAGATTAAACAAATAATTTCTAAATTCTCTCATTTTATGATGATTTGCTAAAATAAGAGTTTTATAAATTCATCTTTTTGTATAAATTTTTCTTTTGATTCTAACAATTATGATATCAAATATTAGGTGCTAGAGGAATTTATGGAATTATATTAACATCAAAAATTGGCAGTCAGATCATGTTATTAGTAAGGGGAAAGTTCATTTGTAAATGATCAGCTGAAATCTTTTTAAGTATATATAAAAATGTAATTGTTATTGTGACGGAACATTTGAAAAGTGGGTTGGTAATTCTTAAAAATATTGACTAATGGATTAAATTTATCGATGATAAAAAAAGCCAAAAAATTAGTAAATGAAATACTTTACATCGAAGTGAAGATCTAAGTCCATTTATACGGTTAAAGTGTTGTAGAAATTAATTGAAAGTGATAGTGGAGTATTTGGATAGAGTGAAGGAAAGTGAAGGGTGGAATGAATTGATTGTTTTAAGATATAGTGAGACTATGCAAATAACTTAAGAGGAGAAATGAACCATATGTAACTATTAAAACTTATATTTATTTGGAGGAGGTTTTAATGAAATAGAAAACTTGATGAAAATTGAGAATAGGATTTTTAAGTAATGAATTTAATAATGACTGGTAAGTAACTTATTTTGGAGTCAATATGATGATTTGCTGATTGTGTTTGATATAAGGACAGGATATATGTGAGTAAATAAGAGGAGTAGAATAAATTGAAATTTTAACAAAATTTGCTTTAAAATTAGTTGACATCTTCTTCTTAAATTATATTTATGAGATTTTTAGTTTAGTAATATGTTTACTTTACCCTAAGTAAATAAGTTGGTCATGTTACATCAAACTTAATTTCTAATTTCAGAATAGGTTTATTTTTTGAGATGGCGAACTTTTTATAACTACACAGATCAAAGTATCATTAGTCCAACAAGCATATTCAACAATTCTCTCTTTTAAATAGGTAAGGAAAACTCTGATAAAAACTTTCGACAAATTTAAAAAAAAAGTTTAGGATGAAAAGTTTACATATAGTCACATATCTACAAATTCATTTTAATTGATGACAGCAAATTTCAGTTCTATAAAAATTCAACTAATTTTAGTTATAATCATTTTTGGTCTTAAATAGACTCTTTAATAACATGCTCATTTATTTTAAGTTAATTATAATCAAAAAAAATAAAAAATGTTTAAGCATTAGAGAGGAAAAGTAAGATTATGCAAAGTTCAACACTCAAAAACATCAAAGAGATTATGTTTCTAATAAATCTCAAGCAAAACTAAAATTTCATTATAAAAAGAAGCAGATAGATTTTAGAAATAATTGTAGAATGTGAGGATAAAGCAATTAAACTTAATAGTAAGTTCAAATAGTTTAATTCTGAATATATATTAGACAAAAAGTGAAATAACTACTCAAGAGATAAAAATGAATTAAATTAATCATTTCTTAAAAACTAAAGCGATATCATCATGATATAATTATTAAATTAAAAAAAATAATTTAGGCTAGTGTTATCAAGCACTTTTTTGATCAAAATTAACTATCAACTTTTAGAAATTAAAATTTTTCTAATCAAATTTGCCATTTTAGATAAATCATGAGAATTTTCTCTGTAATAAAAATCTCAAAACTCATTTTATAGAAAATATGGATGTATTATTATGCTAAAAAATGTAATTAAGAAATTGCTAATTTTGCATGAACTATCTCAGCACATCTAAATATTGAAAAACTTTTATCATATATTCAAATGAGTATGAAGGAATATTATATCTGATGCACGGAATATAAAATTCTGAAGGATTTTATCAGCTTAGTAAACTTTATTACCTAAGTATGAGTCAATGCAGAACATATAAGATTTCTTCCAAAGTATGTATATTTCATCCTTCATTAAGGTATAAAAACTGGTTTAGGTTAAAATGAAGCAATAAAATGATTGTACAAAAGCGATTTAAGTAAGCATTTGCACATGAAGCTTAGGAATGACATAATAAATATAGCTTTGAAGTAAAGAAAATAAACAATTATTACATCACATGTTGAACATTAGTTAGAACATAAGAATCAGAGGGGATGCTACATCTTCAATCAATCCAGGAAAATAGAACCAAAAATAGTCAAGCTCAATAAAAGGAAAGTTGATGATTCCAGAACAAAATTAGGGGTCAAAAGATTAAGCACTCGGTGATATAAACTTATTTAGAAGTAGCCCTATGTAATCAACACATTGAAATAGCATAAAAGGCTCCCCTCTCATCAATATTATTAAGTTAGAATTGCACATTTATACATTATGTAACTGGAGATACTAATTGTGCAGTAATACAAGTGATGCAATTAAAATAATATAGATCAAGCATNGTCACATATCTACAAATTCATTTTAATTGATGACAGCAAATTTCAGTTCTATAAAAATTCAACTAATTTTAGTTATAATCATTTTTGGTCTTAAATAGACTCTTTAATAACATGCTCATTTATTTTAAGTTAATTATAATCAAAAAAAATAAAAAATGTTTAAGCATTAGAGAGGAAAAGTAAGATTATGCAAAGTTCAACACTCAAAAACATCAAAGAGATTATGTTTCTAATAAATCTCAAGCAAAACTAAAATTTCATTATAAAAAGAAGCAGATAGATTTTAGAAATAATTGTAGAATGTGAGGATAAAGCAATTAAACTTAATAGTAAGTTCAAATAGTTTAATTCTGAATATATATTAGACAAAAAGTGAAATAACTACTCAAGAGATAAAAATGAATTAAATTAATCATTTCTTAAAAACTAAAGCGATATCATCATGATATAATTATTAAATTAAAAAAAATAATTTAGGCTAGTGTTATCAAGCACTTTTTTGATCAAAATTAACTATCAACTTTTAGAAATTAAAATTTTTCTAATCAAATTTGCCATTTTAGATAAATCATGAGAATTTTCTCTGTAATAAAAATCTCAAAACTCATTTTATAGAAAATATGGATGTATTATTATGCTAAAAAATGTAATTAAGAAATTGCTAATTTTGCATGAACTATCTCAGCACATCTAAATATTGAAAAACTTTTATCATATATTCAAATGAGTATGAAGGAATATTATATCTGATGCACGGAATATAAAATTCTGAAGGATTTTATCAGCTTAGTAAACTTTATTACCTAAGTATGAGTCAATGCAGAACATATAAGATTTCTTCCAAAGTATGTATATTTCATCCTTCATTAAGGTATAAAAACTGGTTTAGGTTAAAATGAAGCAATAAAATGATTGTACAAAAGCGATTTAAGTAAGCATTTGCACATGAAGCTTAGGAATGACATAATAAATATAGCTTTGAAGTAAAGAAAATAAACAATTATTACATCACATGTTGAACATTAGTTAGAACATAAGAATCAGAGGGGATGCTACATCTTCAATCAATCCAGGAAAATAGAACCAAAAATAGTCAAGCTCAATAAAAGGAAAGTTGATGATTCCAGAACAAAATTAGGGGTCAAAAGATTAAGCACTCGGTGATATAAACTTATTTAGAAGTAGCCCTATGTAATCAACACATTGAAATAGCATAAAAGGCTCCCCTCTCATCAATATTATTAAGTTAGAATTGCACATTTATACATTATGTAACTGGAGATACTAATTGTGCAGTAATACAAGTGATGCAATTAAAATAATATAGATCAAGCATTTGCAGCCATACTGGTTTTGCCACCATCAATACAAAAAGTCATAACAGATTATTATCTAAGTTGAAAGACTCTTATTATTGGCAAGAAATTATATAAAAAGGCAGAGCGTTTGCTCCAAGGGTAGATATCAAGCAATAAACGTATTTTAAAAATGTTTACCTTATTCACTATAAGAGCATAATATGTGTCAACAAAAGAATAAACTTGTATGAACCTGCGGTGCAGATTTTCGTATGGGATGAATCACAAGTTTAATTAATTATGCTACAGTGTAGAAGTTTTAGCGAAAATTGAAAGCATTCAAGTCAAGAACTTGTTCAAGCATTGTCATCAGTACTTTTTTACTAATATTGTAACTTTTCGCAGAAGTATCAGGCAAGTAGCACAGGATAATTTCATTGAGAACAAAGAGTTATCAGTAATAAATTAAGTTCGATAATTGTCACAGGGCTCTCGAGGACAGCTGAATATGTTTAAATTAGCATTAAAAAAAAGATCCATAAGATGTAAAATCTGGAATAAGTGCTTACTTTGAAACTGAAATTTCTGATAAATAACCTTGATAAAAGTATAAGCAGCCGTTCCATATATCGATTGAAGTTCATATTGTATCTAACTATATGAATCATATTTTGGAGCTAATTCAAAGTTTAAAAATTTCCTAATAAAATTTAGACCTTTACAAATAATCCTTGAAGTTAGTCTATTATGTTGAAAAGTTATATAGATAACTATAAAAACAGTCTTAGATGCATACAAACAAATGCTTGTTCTCAGAATCAAAAAATGATCTTTGGATATCTATAAACATCAAAGAGTTTGTTTTCCCAAAGACAAACTATTAAAATTATAATTTATTGGATTAATAATTTAATCAGTTCAATTAAATCTATTATACTTCCAAACTTTTCAAGAAAAATCACCATATATTGATGATAAGGTTAAAATTATTTGTAATAATGTTTGTCGCAGCTTCCAAGCTAGGAGCAGATTTGAGTAAGAAATGGTGAAATGTTGATTCAAAACCTATAAAAAATTATATTTTGGCTGATTTGTTTATTAGAAAGAGTGCAAAGCATGTGTAGGCAATTCTAGCAAAGAATATATCGAATACTGGGAATTAATGGTAGAAAGTAAATAAATAAAATAATTGAAAAATTTTCCCAAATTAATAGAATTATTTATGCTTTAAGAAAAAATTTCAAATGATAGGCTTATTTTAAATAATAATCTTACGCAAACCATATTATGATATTTATGAGCTTATTATGTAAAGGCAGAGTTATTATTTCAAAATTTTCAATTAATCCATATCTAATTAAAAAGTATTCAAACAGCTCTGGATCTTGAATAGAATGATGAATTTCAAACTTCTAAATAGGACAATATATAATTATATTTTAAATAAGTAGAATTGAATTTGTTTCTAATATGTTAATTTAATAGTCTGTTTCAATTTAAAAGCATTAAAATTGATATTATTTTTTTCTAAAAGCATATAAGAAGTTCAAATGAGAGAAATAGTTTCTATTTATGTTGGATATGCAGAAATTCAACTTGGATAGGTTAGTTGGAAATTATTCTGTCTTGAATACGGTGTCTAATTAAACGGAATAAATAATATTGGGGGAACAATAAAAGCAGAAGATGATGCTAAAAAAAGATTTTTTTGGAAAAATTTAATGGATTATTAATTCAAAGGTCAATTTATTATGATTTGGAACCAACAGTAATTAATGAGATAGAAAGTGGGAGTTTTCGACACACATTTCAAATCTTAATAACTAATTTCAGGTTAGGAAAACTCTTCAAATAATTTTGCGAGAGGGTATTATACAATCGGCAATAAAACTGTAGATATTTGTTTGGATAGATTACGAAAATTAGTTGAAAATTGTGACGATTTATAAGGAATTTTGATTTACCTCTCTATCGGAGGAGGAATTGGTTCAGGCTCTGGATCATTATTATTAGAAAAATTAAGAGTCGATTATGAAAAAATATAAATATTAGATTTCACAATTTTTCCTTCTCCCTAATTATCTCATGCTGTGGTAGAACCTTATAATTCAATATTTGCTACCCATTCCTAATTAATCACACTGATGTATGTCCGTTTTGGATGTAATGCAATATATGATATATGTACAAACAAATAAGATATTGAAAGACCATCCTACTCTAATTTAAATCGAATTATAGGGTATATTTATTTCAGCGTTAACACTTCCTTTAAGAATTGGTTAATCTTTCAATCTTTCAATGGAGAAATATCAGAGTTCTAAATATTTGGTCCCCCTATTAAAGATTACATTTCATACTTTGTTCTTATTCCCCTATTATAAAAACTTCTTAAATTTATCATTAATAGCTATCAACTGTGGAAGTAACGATTTCAGCTTTTGAAATTGATAATATGATGGCCAAATGGAATCCAGGTAATGGGAAATATCTAGGAATATAATTATTATACAGTGGAGATATTGTCCTAAAAGATATAGGTAATGCTATACATGCTGCTAATATCCAAACAAACAGTATAGTTTTTCGATTGGACTCCAACAGGAATGAAAATAATTGTAAATTCCTAACCACCCCCTCCAATATTGACAGAAGATGATTTAGCTAAAGTAACAAAAGCAGTTTGCATGAATTCCAATTTATCTGCGATATCAGAAGTGTATTCTAATTTGAATCATAAATTCGATTTAATGTTTGCTAAAAAAGCATTTGTGCATCGGTATATAAGTGAAGGTATGGAAGAAGGTGAATTTTAAGAAGCCTGAGAAGAATTAGCTAACTTGTAAAATGAATATGAGTCATTAGACTTCTAAAGTAACAATGAGTAATTATGATGAAAGGAAAAAATTATTTGAATAATATTTAAGTAAATGGTTCAACATAATTATTCTTAATATCAATATTTGTGAGAAATTTAAAAATTGGAATTATTCTTTTGATAAATATACCCCTGTAAATTTTATCATAAATTTTTTTGTAAACATGATGCCATTTTAGTCTACCTTGAACTTATTAAACATAAACAAACAATTATTGTTTTACATTTTAGATCCTAAATTGCTTATTAGGTAATAATGAATTTAAATTATTTGTTTTGATTAAAACTTGATATATAAATGTATAAATATACTGCTAAATGCTTAATAGAACAGCGAAATCTCCTTTAGAAATAATAGGAAATTCTTATGAGAAAGTTTACCATATTTTTGGTCTTTTAATTTAACAATCACAGGTAATTAGTATCAGTAGTAACAAAAAATAAGAATTTGAATTTCCTTAGATTGTAATCTAGCCACATTATTGTGAATTTATAATTAAATAAGAAAGCTAATTTTTTGGTTCCTAGTATCATTTCTATATTAATATAAACTTTATTTTACACTTCAAGATTAATTATAGTTTCATTCAATGGGAAAAAATAATAATATTTACAGATAGGTAATAAGTTCAAACAATTTCTAAAATAAAGAAAGTCTAATAAAAGGAAATTTAAAGAGATAAATAAAATAAGAATATCTGTATTGAAAAAAATTCTAATTCATATCTAATTAGATAAACACTAGGAATGGAAATTTAGAATTTCATACATAACTATAAATTATTTTTAATATAGAAGCCTTATATTAAATAAAATTTTGAATAGAATTATAATCAATAATCATATATCTTAAAATAAAGAAAAAATTAATACAAAATTTGATTAAATATTGTATTACAAGTTTGTGATATTAGAGTATGAGAAAATAATAAATAAATTATTTGGTTTTGGATTATTATGGATATATCTCTTTAAATGTAAATATCTAAAACATGAAAATGAAGAAATTATGGGATTTTGTTTAAATCAGGAATGTTAGAATGCAACACAATATTGTTATAAATGTTTAAATACTACTCATTCAGAACATTTTAATAATTGTATTCGATTCACAGAAATTAACTAAATTCTGAATGAATCCATGCAAGTTTACAATTAATTAATGAAATAATTCAAAGAAATCTCTAAGCAACTAGACAATTTATTTGAATAGACTTTTAAAAAAAATGGATCAGGAAATTAAAGTATTAGAAAATATGGCCCAATATCTATAAAATAAAGACTATTTAACATTTAAGTCATAAATTCTTATACTCAAGAACTTTTACTCTAAGGAAAACGAAAATTACAAATGTATCTTGTAATTATTAATAATAGAAAAACAAATAATATAGTTGAAGAACATTCATAATACACTAAAGAATATTGTATCAGACTAAACTCACTTAATGTACATAAAGTCCTTTGATTAAAAAGCATTTTCATATCATAAAAAGTTACAATTGGTGAAATTTTGCCCAATCGAAATGGCATTCAATTTGAAGGAGGCTATTAAGTAAACGGACATAGTTTAGTTTCATGTTTTTTGATTAACGTAGAACTCGAACTTTCACAGCCGTGATTCATAACCATTAGTGAAGCTAATTATCAACATCACATGTAATTTAGAGTAGGTTATATATGTTAAAATGATGGTGACAGCTTAATTTAATACATATTAAAATGTGGAGAAGGTCTATAATTGTCAAGTGAGGTGGTTAATATTAGGGAAAAACTAGAATTTTAAAAATAAAATTATAAATTCATATTTCATTTCATTCATAATTATAGATATTATGAGAAGTGATGGGAGTGGTTTGAGAGGAAGTAGTTTCTTAAACGGAAAAAATAAAAAGCAAATTTTCATCATGGTTATAAAATATTGTTTTTTTAGAAGAATTATAATCTGTTTTATTAGTATTCTATATACTTTAAAAATTCAGTAAGTAACTATGAGTTTTCATCGACATAATTTCAATCAAACTTCAAATCATAACACTATTGCATTTCTTCCAAAAAAATGTGCAAGATAAATTTTTGATTTATAGTATAAAACTCAAAATAGAGTAATAGAAATTCAATAAAATAAATAAAAGAATGAATTGTACTTATCATTTTGAAAATCAAGTTTCGCTGATATGTATTGCTCCTCACTAATGTTCATGTTAACGGAAACTATGTGTTAAATGCCTTCTTGAACATAAAGTGGATATTAAATAAGTCATGTCGATTGATGAATTTCCGAAAATGGTTTTATATAAATTAAAGCAATTTAAGGTTGATTAGGAGTCTGAAATTATAGTATAGAAAAATATAGTCAAATTGGTGCTCTCTCTAACATAAATCATTATGAACTAAATATGGGTATAATTATTCGAATCAATCAATTAAATATATGATTTTAATAGAAAATAAAAATAAATCATTTTCTAATCTTATCAACACAAATACTAACATTGCTGTATCCTTTTATTCTGATTTAGAATTTATGGTATCAATTTTAGAAGAGAAAAATTTAAGAGATAGGATTGATGAGAAAAATTCATATTTCAGTAAGTTATAAGTTGAGTAGCTGAAGTGGGAATAGGAAGTTAAATAGTTTCAAGAAATGTTAAAGGAGAAGATAATGACTAGCATTCAACCTATTTAAGAAATGCTAAAAGTATATAAAAGAAAGGAAGATTTGTATTCAGTATTATCTTATTCAAAGAATATTGATGGATCATTCATCAATAAGATGATGAATTTGTTAAAAATTGAAAAAATAACAGATTGCATTGAATATCTATCAAATAAGCAGAGTAGAGAGCAACCTCACTTAAAGTGTAATTACAATATACTCAAAAATATAAGTGAAATAGACTTTAAGAAATTAGATGGTCATTCTCATTTGTGTTAATTCAATTTGTTACTCTCCTGATGGTACTACATTAGCATCTGGTAGTGATGATTAGTCCATCCGTTTATGGGATGTTAAGACAGGATAAGAAATTTTTTCTTCAAATAATCGTTAAAAAAGACATTTTAGCATAATTTTAAGCTTAGAAATTAGCAAATAATGTTATTTTTAGAGATTGGTAATTTTTTACAATTTTCTTTAGCTACCAAAAATATTACAATGTTTACAATTATCTAAAATCCCAATTTAGAAGCATAAAGAGCCTTGATCCGATATGATTTACATTTATTGTTTTAATCTAAAGAATTTTAGAAACCTATCAACAATCATTATATAAGTGAAATTATCACAATCAAATACATTATAAATAATCTTCTTATTAATTTGATTTAAAATATCTTTTTTGGGTCTAAAACTTTTTTTTTTTGTTAAATCTGCTTCTTCTAAGTGTATAACCTGGTTTGTCCTTTCAATAGAGTAGTAAAAATTTGCTGATTTACTTTGAAATTAATGACTATCCGCTTATGATTAAATAATAATACATTCCTATGTCAATACAATTTTTTT